ATACATACATACATACATACATACATACATACAAGGCATATAAACGGCTCAGGGGGATGACATTGTCAATCAGGCATATAGCTATTGACGACAGTCTTGAACTTGATGTTAGCGGGAGGCCTCTTGTCCAAACAATCGACGTAACATGCCAGGAGATGTTCCACGGGGCAGGGATCAATCCTCAAGAGGATCAGCGGGAGGTTTTCTTTTGGATTTGATATCAATCGAGTTAAGGTTTACTAGATGATCGACAATTCTTATCGATCGAATCAGTTTCATTTCTTATTATATACGAATAAATCTGTCACTACCAAAAAGTCCACCTTAAAAGTTAATAATGAGGGGCTAATATATATTTTTGTAATGTTGGGACTTTTGTCTATAAATAGGGGTTCATGTCATGAATAAATGACACTCCCTTTTAACTCTCTCTCTCTCTCTCTCTCTCTCTCTCATTACTTCATATCTGAACCATTCTATTTCTTGGGTTTGTTTCTCGAACACTTTTAGATTCAACATCCTCCAACATGAAGTAAGAATGGAAACATGTCGTTAACAAGAAGAGTAGACCATCAACAACAGTGAGGAGAGTCAAGTTAGAGGAAACGTAGAAGTAACATGCACCCGAGAGTTTATGAAAGAATTCATTCAACAAGGACTACAAGATTTGAGAACTCAAATCACCAACCAGATGTCGGAACAATTCGAAGAAGTACTTAGGGCAATCGCTGCCCTAGCAGCGACCCCAATTCCAGGAGAAGAGCCAGCATGACAAGGAACATTCAACCCACCTCAAGAGGAACCACAAACCAATAATGGAGGGAAGGTGATCCACCTGCAGGAAAAGCCCAATATAGTCTATAAAAATACGGCATTAGATCAGCCCCTATGGAGGAGAGAAACCGATCAATGCAGACCGAGGTACAAAGGCAACCGATCAATGCAGACCGAGGTACAAAGGCAACCAGGTACAAAGGTACTGGTCTCCAGAGTTGAACCTCCAGAGAAGTTCAAGATATCGGTTTTAGAGCCGTATAAAGAACGATCAGATCCTACCGACCACCTCGTGTAGTTTGAATCGTTCATATGCCTATTGAAAATTTTTGATACCCTCAAATGTAAGTTCTTCTTCATAGCATTGAGATCAACTGCACTAAGGTGGTTCAACAGATTGCCCGAGGGAGTAATAACATGTTTTGCAGAGTTCAGAAGACTCTTTCTATCGCAGTTTGCAAGTGCCCTCAGGCCTGAGAAAAGCACCAGATCCCTGTGACAATTGAAGTAGAGAGCCGACAAAAGCTTCAGTCGTTCACGGCTCTAGAGCGAAACACTAAAAGTCAAAGACTTGAAGCCCTACATAGCCCATGCAATGCTGACACAAGGAGTGAAGTGAGAGAGGTTTTGTTTCGACCTTGAACTCGCAGAGCCAGAAAGCTTGGCCAAGCTATTGGAAATGGCCAACAAATATATCATCGCCTCTGAGAACGCCCTTGAGCTCGTCAAACAAAGACACAAGAAGAAACTTTCACCAACCGCCCCCACTACGAGAGTTACCCCAACAATCAGCCCACCTAATGTCATGAGGATCAGAGGCAACGAACCAAGGCCCAAAACCATCGATCGTCATACCATCGTGAACAACCCGGGAATAATTTTGGGGTCCTCGTTTAAAGTTAAAATTCATTTCAATTGCATTCCCTAAAATCTATGAAACACATGACCTTGATTCTAGCGTCATAATTGTTGAGGAGGCTCCTTATGAAATATATTCAATATATGATGCAGAGAGTTCTAAACATGATTCATCTCATGAAAACTATGCTGCTGAGAGTTCTAGACATGATTCATCTCATGAAGAGTCTTCTTCTACCAGTGTATTATTGATCATCTTGGTTCATTACAGTTTGCTTGCAAGCTTGGTTTTAAAAATTTTGTTATGTCATCTGATTCGATACAACCAACAAAGTATGACATGCAACAACCTTAAAAAAGGAATATTTGTTTGCAATTCTAAGTAATTTGATGGATTAGAATGGTAAAAAATTAATGCATTAAAATATTCATATTTGTCCAAAATGGCACTTGACATATCATCAATTCCAGTAACAATAATTGCTTTTGAATATGCATTCAGTGTCGGTGGTAGAGTGCTAGATTGCATTCAGTGTCGGTCGTAGAATGCTAGATAATTATAGAAGTCGTTTATCTATAAAAACGGTTAATTCTTTAGATTGTGCATCTAATTGGTTCGGATTAGCACAAAAAAAAATGCTAAAATGCCTATGGTAAATCTTCCTCATTAATCATTATGATTCAAGCCATAAGTTAAATTTATTCTCTTATTACAACTTTTTAAATATATTAACAATCTTTATATCTTCTTACAACAAGAGCTATTAGAGGAGGAAAATCTAGGTGTTCTTCCAAGAGATTCCTAACCAGCAATCCGTGAACATTCATGTCTATCAATTTGCTTTCAAAACTTCATTAATTTTATTTATGAATGTTTAAGTTGTTATTTTATTTATTTATTTGAACTACTATTTGACAGTGTTTAAAATATTCTATCTCTTATAGATGCTTGTGAAGATAGAACTTCATGCTTATCGAACATTACTTATTGTGATGACTTTATTAATGAGTTTGTTATCTCAGCTTATAACTTTATTCCAGTTTTTATAGATTGGTTGCACTTGTGGAGATGAGGTCTGTCCATAAAATGATGATAGCATGACCATAATTTCCTCCATTTTCTTCTCTAAACAACAGATTTGATCATCTTTCCACCTCAACTGATTTCCTTATAGGGAACTTGAAGCTCGAGTATGCACAACATAAATATTATTTTAGCACTATTGCTTTTGTTCAAAAAAGTTTCCTTTGGGTAATGTAGATTGATCTATTGTTTAAGTTTTGGATAATGACAATTTGTATTATTTTTTGTCAACATTTCTTGGTTATTAAACAGGTTCTTGATAAGATAAAAGTTGGGACTTAGTGTGGACAAACCACTTATTAAGCTATGTACTAATACAAGTAGTTTACATTTTTTTTTTCGGGATTATTATAGAAGTGAGGCTATGATGATTAAAAATGCTCTGATAAATATATGTTACATGTTGCAATGTTGCATTCATTTATATTAGTAATTCTCTTTAATTGGTTCGACATATATGAATGTAACCCCATAGAGGATTCAAATTTGTTTGATAAGTCACAACATTTGAAAGTTGTTCCTTTATGGTTTGCATGCATGCAATTTGCTACTTGTCAACCTTACATACGCTTATAAAGGCTAAAAGCACGAGTACTAGATGACAAGCATTTAATACTTTTAGATTTGAGCTATGAATTTCTATATCTGGAATGGTATGTTTAATATGCAACCAAATAGAGTGTACAAGTTCACATATTTTAATTAAATCTGAACCTCATAAAAAGAAATATAATTTCATTCAATTAAAAAGTTTCATGAATTCATTCATTAGGTTAGAGGTATGTTGAATTATTTCTATTCAAGCAATGCTGTTTGGTTTTATTAAAGTGGATATGTGTTTTCTATTCTAAAATTAAAATAATTCACGTGCTTTGGTTTGATCCTACATGCTACTACAACTGATTTCCCCACTTATTTGTCTTTGAAACTATATATTTTTATTGGAAGGCACTGTCCTCGATCTTGCAGTTGTTGTTGGAACTTGGAAAATACTAGATTTACACATATTATTGCTGGAAGAATTACATACATACCACCAAATTCTTATTTATTTACATATCTAATTTCTAAACTTCAAGTTCTACATACATGCCACCTTCCCTATGCATGAAGATGTGTATTTCACTTTGTAGAAGTTAAAATGGTGGTATTTTTTTTATGTGATATGATAGATTTGTGTGGTCTAAATGTAGAAAGCAGAGTTTAGGTGTTAGATATGTAAATGCAAAGGGATTGAGTGGTATGTATGTAAATGTTGGAAGAATTACATGCATACCTGGAAATGGAAGCTCATCTCTCTGGTATATGTATACTAATTAGCTATATTAACCGTGGTTCAGTCTAATAGATCATATTACTAAACACAGGATTCTATTCTTTTTAGGATCATAGCTTCCCAGGCTTGCAGCAACCTTCATTGTTGACAAAATTGAATAGGGAATTAGCTTTTAGAGTTCTAGATGCATAAAATACATAAGAATTGAGCGGTATGTACGTAAATCTTTCTTTTACTATTTGATAGAACCACTGTCTTTTTTGATGAATTTAATATATAAATTTACTTAATGGTTATATATTATAGTCAGTTGATGATTATATTTAATTTCTTTTCCTTTACAGCTTACAGGACTTCAAAATCGATGATGTGGCTCAAATAATGCTTGTTGAAACTCGCAGCATAAATTTCATTTCTATCGATTCCTACATTTGACGAAGAGCATGTCTCCTGGTATGGTCGTCTTGCTCAACTATGAAGGCGGGATTTTTAGAAATCTATAGGACTTTTGTTAATTTAATTTTATTTTCAATGTTAATATTTATTTATGTATTTTTTGTGTAAATTTTTGATGTGCAATGAATATTACAAATTGTAATTGTGATTTTCTCTTAATAAAAATTTTATTGATTTAGTTGTCTTGTTATTTTTATCAAAAGTTATTTGTTATAAATTTATATTTTAAAAAAAAATTTAAGTATCATATTTTTAAATTTCCAGCTTATTTCAATCTAGTTCAGGAGCTTAAGCTTGAGCTGATTCGAGCAAATTTAAAACAAGCGAACAAACAAGTTATTTTCAAGCCAATTACGCGCCTTTTCAAACAATATCGAACAATTTTAAGCGGAACACAAACAGACTAATTTTGAACAAGAGTTGTTTTCATACAACCATCATAACAAACGAACCGAACACCGACAGAACCTCGGCACCTTCGTGTTCAGCTTGTTTACACCCCTAGGTGACAAGTAGTGGGCGTGAAGATAACTAGTACTATGTGCTTGAAAATCCGCCAAATCAATTGATTTACAAATCGCAAAAATTGAATTAAAGGGTTTTGAATTTCACAAAAATTTTACACAAAATTCCTTCTTTTATCCAATCAAATGCCAAACTTTTGAAACTCCCTCATTCCATTGAAAATATCCCACTAATGTAGGCAACCGTACAATCCATATATAGTTTCTCCAAGAAATTCTAAGCATTGAACATGAAAATAACTAGCTATAGAATAATCGCAATGGAAAAAAGTTTTTGTATTGACATATAATTTGCTAAAATTCATAAAAATTATGAAAAACAAGACATCAAGGTTGTTTGGCGTAAATTTTGCATAGGAAATTGAACATATTTCAACAACAAAATTACAATATGTTGAGCACTCTAAATGGTTAATTCAGCATGAAATAAGTAAAGAGGAAAACAATAAATGGCATAATAGACAATGTGGAGGAACAATCGAAGAATAATAATATATGTCAAACAATTACAAATGATAAATTAAAAAAATAATTAGTTTAAAAGGATAGTAGTGGGTGCCTGGGTGCAAGCTAGCTTAGTTGATAAAGATTTTGTAAGTTGTTCAAACTCTCAGATGAAATTTCTCGAAAAGCAAATTTGTACTTTAACAATCAAACTTTTTCAAATAACAATAAAATAAAATTTAAATCTGAAGTTATATTAATTGAAAAAAAGGAAATTAAAAATAGAATAAGATTATTTGAACACAAAAAAAACAATAAAGGAATAACATGCACTTACTAATGAGAAAATAAAATTCATGCTAGAGGATTAGAAGGTGAAAGGACAGGCTTTGAGTAGAATTAAATCCTTAGACAGCACTTGGTGAGAATGACTAAAAAATGGTGATTCACAAAGCCAGCCCCAAATTATTGAAAAAACGGAAAGAACCATAATAATAATGATGATGATGACATATTAGAAAGTAGAGGTCTTGAAAACTTCTTGGGACCATTTGAGCGACCAAATCTCCTCCAACTTCATGTTGTTAGAATAAAAATCAGCACCTAGACAAGATAAATCTAACGAGCCCAAGCCAAGGGTAGCTTACTTATAAAGTCAATATGGCCCTAAGATGTACATAAACATCCAATCAATGGTAAATTTTCTTGATTTCTAATAGAAATAACGAAAATTTTCCTTTTAAAAAAATCTATGGATAGATCATAATTCAATATATATCAAAAGAAAGAACCTTGATTGATAGAAATTTTCAACATACGGAATCCAAAGCATTGCTAGCCACCGATCATCAACCAATGTTTATGCTTGTGGTCGCTATCACCAAACTTCAACCATCAACAAACGTCTACGACTGAGTTAGACAACTCTACATCACCTAACTCCCAACATTCCTTGTTGTTCAATATCAATGTGTACCAAAAAGCGACATCTGATGCACACCTTCCTAGATATTCAAACTCCTCTAACATTAAGAGAGTGACCAAGTTTATTGTCCAAAATCGCCAAACTTTCGATGTTCCTAGATGATCATCGCCCACAAAATATTGATAATTATAGAACGACAACCATCAACCAACAATATCTCATGCACATCTTTCTGATCACCTGCATCTCATGTTGTCAATAGAAAAACAAAGCTAATCATTCACAATCATTTAATGATAATGTATAAGCCTTAAAACTCCTACACCACAAAGAATCTGTTTTTCAATTGATGTCTACCATATTTTATTAATGTTTTTATCTTATTATGGAGAAAAATGCATGTTGTAATATGACTAAAACCAGTCAAAGTGCTATAATTAAACTAGATCTAATGCAAATATCATCCATTAGCAGCCAATGCACAATACAAACCTCTAGGTCATTTCTTTATGCCAATTAAGAAATCTCAAACAAATCAACACCACGAGATATTTATCATGCTTTAATTCTACAATATTGTATTAATGTCTTCTTTAAATATGGGAAAAGCAAGCTTTAAAACATCAGGCTCACACTAATGCAACTATTTCAATTGGACTTATGCCACCAGTGGCCAATATTCATTAGCCAACGACAGTTGACGTGCATCTACTTGATCAACAGTCTCTCTACTATTGAAAGAATGACTCAGATAGTCAGACATCATCATTTGTTGATATTTTTTCCCCCATTTTTTCACATAAGAACTCGTCTATTAAAAGATACTTCAACTTATATGTGTGTGCCCACAAATTTTTTTTCAAATGCTAAAACGATGAACCTTTTCATCGCGTCTGTGAAAACTTTCCCAAAGCATAATTAATCAATAAGATAGCACACAACCATGCAAGCTTGCCTAAGTAAACACATAAACATTGAGATGCATGTATCTAATAAAATGACAACGCATATCACAAAACTAGCCACCAGGCATCAATCTAGCAGACCAATCAAAAACACAAATCTTATTGAAAAAAAAAACCATGCGATCAGATCATCACTGAAAGTTACAACGAAGGAAAAAGGAAACAAAAAAAAAAGAATCCCCAAAATGATGGTTCCGAATCAGATCTATCAAGTATCATCTCCAAGATCATTGAAAGAGAAGAAAGTGAGGTGAACGTACGAGGTGCCTCGCTCCCGCAGTTAAGCTACGTATCCACCCTGAGCTTTCTGGACGCAAACTGGAGGCAGAAAGGTATCAAGGCGCTAGGGCTTATAAGGGTAGGTTTTCGGCTTCGTTGCAAATGTTCGCTTGTAGCGCTTTGATTTTAATCGAACGGTTGTTGGCTTCTACTTATTGTTGCCCTAGATTATGGGGTTTTAACCGAGTTGATTGAGTGCAAGAGGATTCTCATTGCTTGAATTATGCACTTTAGGATTCATCTGCACACAATAGATGCGAATTATATTAAAATTAATAATAATTTGTTTGCTCATTTTTTAGTGTTAAGAAAATGCTTAATATAAGAATTTTAAAGATATTTCTAAAATTCAAATTTTATATTAATTTTTTACTAAACCCAAACAAAAAATCAAAGCAAAAAAAAAAAAAACATTTTCTAATGTAGTTTCTTAGCCCCTAGTATGATGAAACTAATTCCTTCCAAAAAGGTGAGAATCCTTAATGATATAATAGAGAAAGGGGCAATAGTTTACCCATGGAAAGTGTTGGAAATGAGGTCAAAATGTTAGTGTAAATAATAATTTTGGTTATAATTTATATACACACTCATAACAGTTCAGTCAAGCTATTACAACTGGCGTGACCGTTTTCATGACCGAAATGGTCGAAAAGGCTCCACGTGTCTTAGTTGAACCTATGTGTGTGGGGGATAAAGCACCGCTTAGCCCTCAGCTCGTGATGACATATTAAGTCTGACATCAATGAAGAAGCGCATGTGCCATGAAGGATAACAAAATTCTTATGTCATGCTAGAATTTTGGAAACCATAGACCTTGAATGAGAGTCCTCGTGAACTGAAAGCTAAAGAAAAAAAGACCAAGAGGAGCATGATAGCAAGCACAGGCCTAAAGAGTTTCCCGAAAGATAGACAATATGGTAAAAGATCTGCTTTCCCTGGGACAATGAATGAAGATTTTTTTTTATTTTTTGCCCTCTTCTTATATAAATGAAGGCTCAAATGGTGCCTTAAGGAGGATTTATTAGCTAGGCTTCTCTCTCTCTCTCTCTCTCTCTCTCTCTCTCTCTCTCTCTCTCTCTCTCTCTCTCTCTCTCTCTCTCTCTCTCTCTCTCTCTCTCTCTCTCTCTCTCTCTCTCTCTCTATCTCTCACATGCACACTCACACATCCCAAATGTTTAGAGGTTTTCCTATTCACAATCTCTGGTTTATTTTGTGTTTGAAAAAAAAATTATTTTAAAAATAAAACCGGGTAGATCACGATTATTTAATTGTTTAAATAATCAAACATGACATTAAAAGTAATATGTTATCTCGAAAGATGAGAATATTAATTAATAATGAGTTCAGTTTTAATATTGAGAAATTTTGGATATTTGTTTGGTCTGCGAAAATAACAACAAATCTTTCTCCTTTTTAATCTGAAGATTAGATATGATTTAAATTATCTGGGTTATTAATTTCTTATAGGTGAAAGTCACTTTAGTTAATTACATTTTACGCGACCAAAATCACTTGAAAAAACTCTCAAGTAAGATTGGAGTTATGTCTTCAAGAATTTCAAAGTTTAGTTTCCACGATTGATTATAAATAAAATCAATTGGGAAAGACTCAATTTATAACAGTTATTTTTTAAACCCAAAGAAATGAAAAATAGAATATATCGAAGATACCGAGACAACCTCAGTGACATCTCAACTATTCTATCGTTTGGATTTACCTTTTTGAAGGAGAAGTTATTTGATATTTCAATCCTCTAATTTTTTAGAAATTTAGAACTTATATCTCGTGATATATGATTGTGAGAAAGCCTGGAAATGTGAGAATTTACGTCATGCTAAATGAACAACCTTAAAATTTTAAAACTAAGGTGATGTTAATAGAAGAAAGTTAAACAACAAAACCTAATCTAAAGAAAGAAAACACACAATTAAACAGGAAAATTGACTTACAGTGCCTGGAAAGTATTGTCATCCAAACCACCAAAATGCATTTTAAAATCGTGAATGCTAGTCTCAATGAATATAGGATAGGGAAGGATGTTATTTATTAAGAGTTGTAGGTCTTACAACTTAATCATACCAATCAAGATATCTAAATATGAATAGTATGCAAAATGGCATGACTAATGCGAGTATATTTTTGTTATTTCAAATTAAAGATTTTAAAGCTTATAAACCATCAGATGAATTTTATTATCTGGATTGATTCTTACTATCAAGTAATCAACAACATAGTATTTGGATTGATTCTTACTGTCAAGTGATCAATAATAGAGTATGAATAGGAATGCATGCCCTTGATGACGAATGCATAGAACATTTGTTCAAAATTCAATCAGTATGCAGAGGTAGAACTCATTCTATAAAATAATGGTTCTCACAGATCAAGTCACAAATTTATGTACAATGAGTGAGGGCTTAAAGGCAATGAATGGAACCAATATGCAATGACATGCCTATGGTGATCTTTTTGTATAATTTCTAAATCGTAAAGAGGTTCATACTCTATTTCATTTAGTTGTCAATTTGTTATTTTAGAATGTATGATTACCTTAGGTGTGATTGCAATGTATTAATGTAATTTTATTTGGGGTTATGAGTTTCATTTTGTTTCGAAAAAGTTTATTTCAATTGTTTACTTGGGGTAGAAAATATAGTTCATGCAGAGTCTATTGTAAATCCAGACAAAAACACACAAAGTAAAGCCTTGAATTTTGATCAGACCTATCGAACACAACAACAACCAACAATGCACAAATATAGACAATGCAATAGTGTACCAGCCCTAAACTATATCTTACTCGTCGATTAACATCATCTGAAATATCATTGATAATTTAGTTGAAGTTCATCATTCGCTTCGTGTTTCATCTTCTTTTGAATAGTTTGGATGTCGATGGTTGACCAACCACAACATCTCTTAATTATAAAAAACAGAACGGTACCTATATGAACTATAGCAACCTATAGAAAAGGCAGTCCACCCGTCCAAACCAATGCTTAACAAGAAAACATAGCAATCACAATCTATTTACTCCTATAACATCTAGAGCGTTAGTGTCTTATGGCGTTTAAAAAAAAGTATGAATTTTAAGTGTGGAAAATTTCATTAGATTTTTATTTAAGACAACCTCGTGAAGATGCCTATGACTTTTCGTCGTCTTGAGTTGTCATGTTTTCTGATCTACTTAGCCCATAAAGGTAGTCAAATGTACTTCGACTAGAAGACTCTTGCCAACAACCATGAGTTGTATCATCCAAGAAATCTTTGCAGACCTGAGTAGATGGGTTAAAGTTGTGTTATGTGATGTTGGTTCACTAAGGGTTCACTTTAAGTTTTAGTATCTTCCGGATTTTAAGTACTTAAAAATTTTAGTTGCTTACGACTTTTTAATGGATTTTATTTAAATTTTACTTTATTTATTTATTTATAATGTTGGATCAATCAAATTCAAACTTATTTAAGACTTTGTTAATAAAAATTATTTTAGTTGAGTTTAAGTGATTTATATAACACTCACAGTCTTCATAGGGTTGTTTAGAATTAAATTCCAAATGACCTCCACAATTTTCAGATCATTCTAATGTTTGTTTGAACTATTTATGAGTTTTTTTTTTATGAATTATTGGTTTCAATTTTATTCAAATTTCTATAAAGAAAGACTTTATATTTTTTACTTCATTTTTCTTGACTTATTTGATTCATTTTTGTTTATTTTGTGAAAATTTTGTTTGATTTGAAATTGTATAGAAAAAGTTACAAGAATTTTACTTTTGATTTATGAATGTTAATTTGAATTTTTATTTTTTATCATCTTTATTATTTTATTTTATATTTTCAAAAAATTTCATTTGATTTTAGGTTTTACTGAAAAGTTATTTTTTTAAATTTTTGGTTCATAATAACATATTTAAAAATTTTTTGTTTTGCTTTTTGAATCAATTCATTTTTATTTGAAAGTTTACCAATTATAGTATGCTCTGTCTTCTTAAGTGATTTGAGTTAGTTAAGTAAAGTTTCAAATGCTTGTGATTTATTTAATTGATTTTTTTAGTTAATGAATTTTGTTATGGGGTTTCAACCTAAAAATATGTCTTATGTCTTCTACCCTAAGGTTTCTTTATGAGGTAAGCATAAATTACACATTCAAAGTCTTCCATCCTAAACTTATGTCCTACCTTGGATATCCTAAGTTTTCACTTCTCAAAATGTAATGAATTGAATAAAAGAAAAGAAGTCACATTATCATATTGCCAAACAAATGACATATAACTGAATTCAGTAATTAAATAAAAAGTAGGAACATACTTGTCGATTTTCAAGTGGCTTTTCCAAAGAACCATAATATATGAGTTCATAACAATTAGTTTATATAGGCCAACTTAAGAACATGAATGAGAGAATAAAAATTGTCATGAGAGGTTGTTAAAAGAAACAAGGAAATCCTTCTCGGTTGCACACCTTAACCGAACAAAGTGTCTCATTCAGAAGGAGGGAAACAAACCTCTTGAGCAACCTTACAAATGAAGCAATAATAAGAAAATTTACTTACAATCCACTCAATACTTATATATTCACATATTAGCATCTATACTTTATCTCCTCTTTTATTTCAAAATTATATCACCCAAAACTTGTCATAGCACATCAAAAATAGCAACTCAAATACAACTTTTTCAGAAACACAACATTTTCATGTATAGGTAAGAATAAAATATATGTCAAGTTTTTAGGGATTAAATAATAATTTAGTGGTATGCACCTAAATCTCACCCTAAAATTCTTCGATCAAAATTATCATTTTTTTCATCAAGCTTTCATGGATCCAATCTATACATTAAAGTTTAAAGGCTTACGCTTCAACATACACAAGCTCAAACAAAATACTAATAGCAGCTTCACATCATAATGATGTAGAAGACTAATAAAATTTAGATAACCTATAAGAAGTAGCTAAAAGAACAACATAGTTAACGAGCAAGTATAACTCAAATCTATTGCTTCTTCAAAAACAAAGCTAATAAAGTTTTCAAAATTTCGCAAAAGCAAAGCCATAACAATTCCAAAGTTTCCAAAACACAATTTCCAATGGTTTCGAATTCTATAAGCAAAGGCTCAATGATTTTAGAATTGTCGAAATGTAATTTATAAAGTTTCCAAATTGCATAAACCAAAGTCACATTAATTTCATATTCACCCAAAACAAAGCTTCGAAAGTTTTCAAACCTTCCATAAATCAAAGTTGCATTAGTTCCAGATCTTCCAAAATAAAAGTTTTTAAGTTTCCAATCCTTCGCAATTCAAAGAGACATGAGAATTTCATATTTTCCAAATAAAGTTTTGAAAGTATCCAAATTTCTCAAACAAAAGCCAAGTCAACTTTATATTTCCCAAAATGAAATTTTAAAAGCTTCCAAATTTTTCATAAACCAAAGCCATGAGGATTTCATATTTTCCAAAACAAATACTTCGAAGGTTTTCAGATTTTACAAAACCAAGCCGCAACAATTTCAAACGTCCCAAAATACAACTTATAAAGCCTCTGAATCGCATAAACAAAAGTCATAAATACTTCAAATTTTCACATACAAAGTCATCTCGCATTTCATATTTTCTAGAGAGTGAAACACACAAGTTTCCAATTTTACAAAAACGGATATATTGAAGCTTCTCATTTTCATAAAGAAAGCTACAAGTAATTTCAGATTTTGAAACCAAAACCTTCATGTGAATAAAATAAATTGCATATTTTAAATGAACAAAGGGTGCAATGAGGTACAATGTTTAAAATTAAATGAGCAACTATACACATACCACTCAACTCTTATATATTTACATATCCAACACCTGAACTTTAGCCCCACCTAAATTTTCATAACATATCAAAAATGCTACCAACACAATTTTCCATGCATAAGGTGGTCTTTATGCAAAGAGAATGGAGTTAATTTGTTTGATATACAAATACATAAGAGTCGCATGCCATGCATCCTAATTTTCCAACTGCTTAAATGATAACAACACAAGATAGTAATAATTTTCACAATTTTATATAGGAGGATGGTTCAATGCTCATCATAAACAGATTTTTTAAATGAAATTAGAAGATCCTCAACTGCTGAATGTTTCCTTGGAAAGATATGCAAAGATCTAAGCAAGTTTTAAATAAATTTAATGCACTGTTCTAGCAACAAGATCTGAGCATCGCTTAATAAGATTTCATCGAGATGTAAGCAAGACTTCAACAACATTTAAACAAGATATATATGACGAGTATAAATTTTAGATCTGTACCATATTCACTCACAGGTAAAATGAACTTCAACTTCTACGAGTTAGTAGACTAAGACAAGCGAAATAATAACACATAACCTTTCTATAATATGAGCTTAAATTATGAATTTACAAATTTTGCTTTACTAACCAAAAACTTAAGCACTTCCATGTATGGATTTGAATACCTTCCACACAATGCATTCATAAATTTCCTAAAATCGAACCCAACATCTAGTACATTTAGCCATGCAATCACCTTTGCAGTCCACATTATACCCTAAAACCTTGGGATTGCGAAGAAGGAGATTTCTGAGTATTTTTCCTTTGATTCCCCATTCCCTCTCCAATGTCTCAACATTGACCTTCAATTCTTCATTAAGACAACACCCCAGCAGCTCAGGAAACTTCTTTAGTATCTTATGGATATCATCATCAGAAAGGCTTAAACTCTTCAAGTAATCTAACATCTCTTTAATTGAAACAGACTGAGGAGTTTCTTTCCTTCGTTCTTCGCCCCAATAAGGTGAGTGAATCCAGCCAAAAGCTTTCTTGAGTATCAGATCAGCTTCTTCTACAGTAAAATTCAAGGCAGAGAGTGATTGTTTACTTTCTTCCCAAATATTACTATCCTCGTCTTCTTGTATAGTGGTCTGTGGTTGATTAGTTGCTAGTGGTTTGTATGCTTTAATTGAAAAGTTACAACTAAGAAAACTTTTCTTCAAAGGAAGTTTGATACGAGCTGTAATTCTATATGATGGATTCAGTTGAAGTAGAATCAAATTTGCCGAAGTAGATGAAACATTAGTCTGTTAAGGCAAAGTGCAAAACTGAAGTTAAAGAAGCGACAGGACTTTATCATTTTCAAATGTAATCTGCCAGACCAAAAAAAACTCTAAATGCTAAATGTTATAATTAATTCAAGTACAGTAATTTTGTAGGAATCTAAGGAAAAACCTGATCTTAATTGTTGAACAAGCTCATTAATGAAGGTAAGAGGAGGTAGAATATTAACGGGCATTTACATACAAACCACCCAATTTATATGTATTTACATATCATACACCTAAACTTCGATTTTTACATTAATATCACCCAAAACTTTCATATCACATCAAAAATACCATCATTTTACCTTTTAAAAAAAATGAAATATACCTTTTCATCCATAGGAAAGGTGGTACATACGTAAAAATTGGAGTTTAGGTGTTAGATATGTAAATACATAGGAATTGAGTGGTATGTATGTAAATCTTCCAAATCTTAAATACGGGGAAAAAAAAATCGTTTGACTAGTGAAGTATAATAAAACAAACAGCTTGTATGGTAAAAGCATATTGCCATTTCAATATATTGTATTCTTTAAATAGATAGAAAGAACCTTTGTCGCAGAGACTTACAGAAGAAAAGAAGCATAGTGATGCAGTTTGACATGTAAAAGGCAGTGGCAACAAATTGACCAGCATTCCTATTCAACAAAATGCGAAATAGACAACCAAATCAATGTGATTATGATAAAAATAAAAATAAAACATTTATTTCCTATCCTTTCTCTTTTATAATTATTAAAAATAAAACATTTATTTCCTATCCTTTCTCTTTTATAATTAGACTCATACAATAATATATGAATGAGACCTCAAAAGAAAGATATGGATGCGTGAACTTATATTTTAGAGAAGCAAAAAAACAGCATATCTAACTTAGAACTATTCCGATTTCGGCGACTCAATCCTATTAACAAATCAACACCATGGGTTACTGTTAAGAAAAACATTACCAGTTTTTGGTCCAAAATGATCAAGTATATCAACCCTCATATAGAACTGGGTAAGTATAGAATAGTTGGATCACATCAATAAAATTCAAGAGGTGCTTAAACAATTTTTATTTTGTTTTATTGCTCTCAATTGAGTTATTTGCTGGAGCCATCCTTATTTTTTTTAAAACATGTAGATATCATCATTGCAACCCACGTTTATCTCATGAATTGGCTTCTCCAACTAAGCTATATTTTGAAATTTTTAACGTGAACCGTTAAAAGTCAGCTCATGAGTGAGTATTGATCATGGCTCACAACAACTTCAATTTGCATTCTGACCTTGAATAATTAGAAAAGAAATTTGTTTCTGATGATTTGAAAATTGATGTAATTTTAAGGTGATTCTGGCATAAGGCAGATTGTTCTCGTGGCTTGTACTCTCTCACAAACAACAATGAAAATGGTCATGAGAATTATCTCAAATGCGTCAACAACATCAGCATAAAACATAGTTCCATTGACAAACCAACTAACCATTTACAAGGGAATCACCTAACATTTACATATTATCCATAAAAGTTAATGGTATTGAAGCAAAAGATAAGCACAACTTTTATTTTTACAAACAAAATAACCTTCAAAATTTTATATTGAATGCCAGCTAATCAAATAATGTAGTCCTTCAAAAGGATTTCTCAAGGTACTTCCTTATGTTTATCTCAATTATATATGTACCCAAGGTAAATTCAAAGATAAAATACTGTTTTCCAATGTTTCATATCATAAAGTTTAACATGAACAAAATAATAAATAACTAAGTAATGAAAATACAACCCAGACATGCTTCTTATCTCAAAATCAAACATTGTGACCCTAAGCAATCTTAGAAATGAATAAAATTGGCATCAAGGAAAGCCCCATATCGGATAACTAAAAATTCATTTTCTTGGGTTTTCCATCAAAACAAATGGGGCATCCAAAGAAATGCTTTACATAAAGAGTGGACATAGCACTACCTCTGAAGAACTAAAAATGGATTTAAGGCTTATTTGGTTTCTGGTAGATGAAGGAAATGAATTAGAAAGTGAGAAATTTATTTTAACTCATTTTAAAGGGAATCTTCATAGTACTTGTGATGTTTGAAACCAATACTTATGATAATTACATCGAACTAAAACATGGATTTAACGGATTTCAAATATTTCCAAAACACGATTTACAAATTATAGTAACCAAATCAATCCTTAGAATCAACAATGGCCAAAGTCCATTCAATAACAATCAAACAAGATAAAAATTGCAATAACAAGACCTACTCCTTTGAAGTAGGATTATCTACTGATCATTCTGTTAATAACAATGGTTGGGGAATTAAAGAAGGAATAAACATCACCTTGGAAGGGCTTAAAGAATCTTAGTGAACTCAAGCAAGGGTTTAAAAAATCAATACAAAAAACTCAATTAGTTGGTTCGATTTGGCCCTTGCCTCGTGGATGCTAGATATTTTATAGATAGTGCTAATTCCAACTAAAAACCAAAGGTTCAAAATTTTCACTCAGCCCTTAAATTTCCATGAATTTGCGTATATTCAACCATGTTAGAACACCTCATCATGGTCCGAAAATGAAAATTTATTTACATTTGCCAAATATTATCTTATGCTAACCTGTCATAAATTTAATAATTTGGTTTAATTAGATGTTTTTAAAAACCTAAATAATTGTGTGCTACGCATGTTAACATAGCTACTGCATTCCAGATATAATTACAAATAAAATAAAGTGGGAAATTTGCACCTGATGATATCATATGAAGATCTAGCATGCGGTTGCGTGAATGTGGCTTTTTTTCGCAGTGGCTGTGCCAGAAAGTAGCGAAACAATCTAGCCCGGGTGGAGGTGGAGATGGAGACCTGATTATCTTGGCTGCTAGAAGAACTTGGTTAGAAAGACCGCCCCCAATTGTAGCGATGGAGGCGTGTGATTTCTACCGGAGAGGGGAGTTCAGCAGCTTTGCGCCGTGCGAAAGTAAATAGGGCAGAATGGGGATCTCAGGCTAGGGATTGCGCGAAACAGTAAGAAAGAAGGGACCCCGGTTAGGGGGATATGCGTACTGGATGGATAGTTTTTGTAACCGGGGAAGAGGGGAGTGGACTCGCGGCACTGGGGATCCTCAGGCAAGTTGCACGAACGACAGAGGAAAGGAGGCGGTGGTAGTTGACATGAGCCGGAGAAGGAGGATGCAGGTGAGTGATTTTCTGCTGGGCCTTGCTGGTTCGTTCAGGGTTTCGGGAACGAACAGAGAAGAAGAATGCAGTTCAAGGAGGCCTGATGGGACAAAAGATGGTGAGGATGATACGTAGTCCTACAATATCTGCAAATGCTAATTTCTGAAATTTGAAATAATTAGAAAAAAAGTGACCATACATGAATGGACATTGGCATGAGAAAATATTACCTCTCATTAATCGGATTTGTGGAGGACACCATGGATCACATCTATCGTGTGTTTGACGATATGGTGTGATTCACATCATCATTATATATGATAATTTGTTTGGGCGCAGAGTAAATAGGTATTTGAATTATATACATTGGATATTCAGAGATTTTTTTAATTCTTGTAAATTAATACAAAAATTTATTTTATCTTTCCTAAAGGTCTATATAGAATAAAATAAAAATAATATATTTTAATTACCTTAAGAAATATTGTTTTTTTTTTGTTTTTGTTTATTAATTGTATATCCTATGATTTTTTTTTAAGTTTACATATTTAGCATTTATATCATCAGATTTATTTATATAAAATTTTATAATAATATTAAAATATACACATGATAAAATATATTTTTATTGTCATAACTTATATTTTTTATGCAATTTTAAATTTAGAGAGATATATAAACAAATATAGAAATTTGACTTAAACATAAGTGAATTAATAATTCATATATTATTCTCCAATAAAATATTACTAGGTTCAAGCATCATAGAGGGAAATATTAAATTTAAAAAATGAATAAAAACTCTCAATTTTGAAGCTTTGGTTTAAGACATAGCATTGTTATTTCACATAAACCTCTTTACATATAGAAATGAACAAAATATACTCCATTCAATTTGTAAAAGAAGAATAAAATGAATAAGACAAATTATGCAAAACAATCCATTGAAGTTCCTTCCATTCCCAAAAATAATATTTGGTGGCAATGAAGCCGAGCCTACTGGCTACTAAAAACTTCCATGGTAGTTGAATTACACGATATAATGAGAGTTTCTTAAGGTTGTGCCTCTAGGAACTTGGGTGGCTAACTCCTGTTGGGCATTGATGTGGCCTTGCTAGTTGAAGGTGATCTCCTCATCAGTCTTACTGACATCAACAAATGCAAGACTCCAACTTTTGAAACCAATATAGTTAAACCTTGCACAAAATATTTTAGGGTTCCTCAAAAGAATCTCATTGAGTTGAACATAAGCTCACTGAAGTATGAAAATATGCACGACAGGAATTGTGATCAAGAAAATTCCTCTGTGCTAGTTAAGTGCTCATGACGATGGCTTGAAATTCTTTTCTTGAATGAAATTGCTGCAAAAGAGCCATCAAGTGTCTGCCCATGGATAGATCTTTAAAATCAGAAGTGAGTGATTGGTGTTTGGTTCAGTTGAGCCCTTAAGGGGATATAATTAAGGTAGGAAATAATAATTGGGTTAACGACCAACAAAACACTTAAGGCAACTAAAACAATCAAGATGGAAACTTCCCTAATCCTAGACCTAATTACCTTCATGGAATCACTTCTAAAAATCAATTTAAAGAAAATAAGCTATCTTTGAAAGAGTCAGCGTTGCAGATGAGAAATCAGTTATAAAGTCAAGCTGCAACCATTGGAATATTGAAACATAATTAGAACAATTAGCTAACTTAATGAGTAATAGACCCTAAGGGACCTTGCCCAACAACACCGAAGTGAATCAAAAAAAAAAAAAAAGAGGCAGAGCAATACAAAGTTATTAAGATTAAGAGTGAGAAGGACCTAGGAGATGTGAGTAGAGAAAATAAAATGAATTAGAGAACTTCTGAACCTGGACTTATCTCCAAATCCCAGAAAGATCCAATTGACTTAGTCATCCTATAAAAGTTAAAGGAAAAAGGGAAAATGACTATGAAACATTTGAAAATACCACCACTACCATATCCCCAATAACTTTTAAAATATAAGCAATTTTATCATTTTTAGATGATTTCAAGAAGCACACAATTAATATCTCATTTACGGAAGCTCATGAATAAATAGATGCCTATTTAGCTTAAATCTTTGAATATATATTAAATAAAAAAATTTAAATTTGAAAAATTTTAAACTGTGGCACTAAGTGAGAAATATAATGTTATTATCAACAAAAACTACTTTAGAAGTTTAATGATCTTGGTTAGTTTTATTATTCCTTGCACTATATGAGATATATTTTTTTTGAAAAACTTTACATAACATAAGATATAGCATCAACCTTATGCCCTTGTATATATTTAGGAAATTGGGACTATGAGAGGTGAAATCAATTACTATTTTCTTGTAATTAGTTAGTTGATCTTTAAATTTTTCTAGAGATATGGTAGAATATGTTGTTGTGAAAGTAAATAAGTTCATCTTCCCAATTGATTTTATTATATTACATATGAAGATGAAAAAGAGACACTTATCATCCTAGAGATACCATTTTTAGCAACATGGAGGCTTTGATTAATGTTCAAAAAAGAGAATTGGCTAAGAGGATTCAAGCTTAAGGAATCATTTTTAATGTATTAAAATATATAATATTATATAATGACCTTAGAGATCTAAAAACCTAAAAAAAAAGTAAGAATTTACGTCGTGCTAGATGAAACTACCTCATCATGCTAGGGGTTTATGCTATTTCAGACTAGGAAAAAGTTAGTTAAGGATCATCATGAGTAGGGAGATCATTTCAAGAAGAAAATATTACTACTCATTAATGTCACTTCTTTAGGTATCCCTCTCTCTCTCTTCAAACTTACAGAATATTTCTTGTGTGTGGTTTCACAGATAAATCATGGCTCAACAATACATACACTCACTATTTTTTAATGGTTTTACAGTCAGATCCCCTTTTTTGTATTTCCTTTTTCTTTAGCTACTTAATCATGCCCGATATATTTTTAAGAGAAAATTACATGTAAAACATGTCCAATTTAACTATTTATAGAACTTTTCCATTCATTCTTGTTTGAAATTCTAATCCAAATAATGAAACCATAACGAACCCCAATCCATTTATTTTCATTGAGAAGATTTCCAAAAAAATATTTGATCAAGGCAAGAGCAAATGTTTTAGTTGGATTACTTAAAAAAGATACCTGGTTCTCACGAACGGCCAATGAGCCAAATGGCGCCACGACATGCTCTCGTACGCCAAACACGTCCACCAGCATTTATTGATCCAAATTAGCTGCCATTAGGCAACAATGATTTACATATTGATCCAAATAAATTTTAACTTTATAGAATAATATTTTTAAAGGTCTGTTTCCATACATACCACCAAAATCTATTAAAAAAAGGTCTGTTTACATACATACCACCCAATAAAAAGATCCCATCATACAGTCGCCACACTAGACGTGACATTTGTTCCTTTATAGGAGGGCCGGGCAAAGAAATTAAAGCGTATATATTTCAGTTTTGTTACTTGCAACATATAAGTATGGAAGATTTACATACAAGCCACTCAATTTTTTTGCATTTACAAATATTATATCTTAACTTCAGTTTTTAAATAGATGTCAAGTTGTCAACTTACCAATTGTTGTGCGCGGGAAGATCAGTGGATCGGGATACATATTCCTGAATAGTCTAGAGCACGATACATACTTATTCATCTAGGTGTATATATAGATATACCTCCCTCACTTTTTTGAGATTGATAAAAAAGAGATGTACGGTCAATAAAAAAACTCTCGCCTTTTTTTCTTCCACAACAAAAAAAAACTCGAGCAAACAGAATTGAGTAGCGGATTCAGAATCAGAATTGTCCGTATATTAATTAATTAATATTTCAGTATTGTACAAAAATTAATATATAGATAATAAAAAAATTGCTCCACGAGCTAGCAAAACTTTTTAAGTGGAAAACTTTGAAAAAGAACAAAAATCAAGGGGTCAAGCCAAGTTAAAGTAGTCCACTATGTAATTATAGGTATATACGCGCACTTTACCTCTCAATTAGGGAAGATGAAATAACAAAGTTGATATACAATAATAATTTAGTGATAATAGGCGTAATCGAGCTTTAGTTTTTGGTGATAACAACGATAGTGGCAGTAGGCCTTTTAGAGGTAGTTCAGGGTGAGGTAGATCAGCCTTTATTTTGGGTTGTGTGTAGAAGTCGGCAACATGGTTTTGGGTCAGATGGAGTGCTCATGAGGCTAGGTTGAGCACAATAGCATACTAAGGTGTACTAAGGTATGCTGGGTTAAGCTCAGCTGAGCGCTTCATGGGTTAAATCAAGCTAAGAATGGGCCATAGGTTTAAATTAGGTATGCTCCCAAGGTAGTTGGGCATGAGCTCTAAAATGCACATAAGCTGGCTAGTTAGTGCCCTAGAGTGTTCTTGAAGTACACTAGAGTAGAGTAACCTTGGTCAACCAGAAGATGACATGGAAAATTCATGGGTAGAGTAAGACGGAAGTTTAAAGTTGAGAGGAGTCACAATATTTAATGCAAGATGAAGACATTAACAATGACGTCAGTAGTGGTCACAATCAAGTCTTTTCTTTTTTTTTTTTTTTTTTTGGATGCCTTCTAATTGCCTGTATGTTTAAAAATGAAAACACGATGCTAACTACTAGTTGCTCACTTTATTGCATGATATATTGAAAAGCTTATATTACATAAAATCATTAAGTGCCCCTCTAATTGATACTCTAGCAGATCTTAAACGATCAATGATTTTATATGAGGATTATAATCGCATCTTTCAACAAAGTTGAAAATATAGATTTTAGAACAAATAATAATAATTTTACCATCAAGAGTTAGTTCACAATCTCTACAATCCCGATAACAAAGGATGTTTGTCTCCAATATCCATGGCATTTTATGACAAAAGATAAGAGGGGCACTTACATACATACCACCAATCCTTATGTATGTACAGAACACCGTAGTTGATTGCTACGAAGGCAGTGGCCCGCCATAAATGTTTTAAACATGGGTGTAATAGCAATAGTTGGGTACATAGATTGTAGTTGAAAGTTTAAGTAGTATCAGTTGGCCACCTACGACATAGTTGGATGTTGTAATGATATCATTTGGTCATATAGGCTGTAGTGATGAGT